CTTTCCGTAGTCCTCCATGAGAACTACCGATGCACATAGAGAACTGTGCTGCTAATCCAAATACTGTGCCACTCTGACTGTTCAAATCCACTAGTGACTTCTTGGGAGAAAGAGGAGCAGTCTCCTCTTCATTTACAGCCTTGGAAAACCAATAGATGGTCTGCTATGAGTTGGTTCTAGTCTAACAGCAGTGAGTTTATTGGTTTGTGGTTTTTGGGGGGATGTTGGGAGGTTTTGGGGTTAATTTTTAATTAACTGACTCAGGGCTGATCTCCCAGGAGGTTTTTGTTGTTGTTATGTGCCGTCGAGTCTTTGCGACTCATAGCGACCCTACGTACAACAGCCCTAAACCGTGCTCTATCCTGTGCCAATCTCATTGCCTCTGACACACCCATCCCAATTACCCCAGTCACTGAATCAATCCACCTCATAGAGGGTCTTCCCCTCCTGCGCTGTTCCTCTACTCTACCCAGTATGATGTCCCTCTCTAAAGACCTGTCTCTCCTTACAACATGTCCCAAATATGGCAGACGAAGCCCCAGAATCCTTGCCTCCAAGGAGCAGCCTGATTTAACCCTCTCTAGGATGAATCTGTTTGTTTTCTTGGCAGTCCATGGTACATTCAATACTCTTCTCCAGCACCACAGCTCAAAGGCATCAATTCTCCTTCTATCCTCCCTAGTCATTGTCCAATTCTCTGATGCATAACAAGTGATTGCAAAAATCATGGCCTGTATCAGGCGCACCTTAGTCTCCAGAGAGACACCGCTGCTCTTGAGTACTTTAGAGAGGTCCCTAACCGCAGACTTTCCCATCGCAATACGTTTTAATTACACAGGAGAAGGTTCCTGTGGAGCAGCAGCTCGTAGATTCAAACTGCATGCCTTCGGCAGTGCAACTCCTAACCACTGACCCACCAGAGGTCTCCTAAATGTTCACACTAACAGTCATCAAACCTCCTTCTACAGCAGTGAAAGAAACCCTTCATATAAATAAAATCTTATGTACAAATCTAGGATATAACATCTAGACAGAGGTGGAATGACCTGAGGTTCATAAAACTCAGCAGAATAGTTTGAACAGGACCATTCTAGGGTAAGGAAGTATGGGAGCTCTGTGGTTAAGGGACTTGGCTGTGCATCAGCTACTCTTGAAGAAGAAAGATGAGGCAATTGGCTTCTATAAACATTGGAAACCCTACAGGGTAGTTCTGCTCTATCCTGCAGCATTGCTGTGAGTTGGAACTGATTCAGCAGCATGGGGTTTTGGTTCAAAGGTGAACACAGCTGACATTACCATTAATTTCACCATCCTCAGCCTCAGATAAAGATTGATATTTGAGGCTCTACAGCTTAGGGACTCATAGAGTGATATCTGCTGCATGTTATATCAGAGAACCTACTTTAAAAATAGTTTGCTCTTGGGGCATGTTTGAGTTTAAGAAAGGTCAGATTGATGAGGTAGAGTTGCCTGCCTCAACTAATCTTAATTATCTAGCTCCAGCAGAAATACTGCCAGGGAAAATGGAGGAAGTACTGTCTGGGAGACCAGAATCCATCATCTCGTTGTGGCTCTGCCACTAACTAGCCACATGACCTTGGACACGTCCCTGAACCTCATTTGCCTTGGTTCCTTGACTATTAAATAAGTTTGGGGTGATCTCTGAGGCCCTATCCAGTTCTAAATTCTATTAATGTAAAATAGCTAGCCTTTTGGAAAAAGGATTTTGATTAAAGATCCAGTTTCAGATTAGTGGCTGCTTATGAGAAATGACTTGAATGTCCACTGGGAGGGAGTTGAAGCAACCTGTGGTATTTATAAACTCATCTTTTTTTTCATTCTGTAACTAGACATAGCTCACTTTTAACAGGTTTTAGTGGGAATTTTTCATTATCTGTTAGGATTGCTTTTGGCAATATGAACACAGTGATAATAGGTAATTGCCCTGACCAGCTGAACAAAAGCAATGTTTGTAATGTTGTATTAGTGTACCCTGTATCCTGACCCCCTAGTTGATCTATTCACCATCTCCCCGCTTTCTGCTTCTGAGCTTTAAAGCAAGATCTTTTAGGTGGCCCCTTTTCTGTCCTTTACTGGTCTACTAATTATTAATTACTGCATAAGTGATTAAAGCAATGGCTCAGAACAACAAACATTTTTTTTATCTAACTATTTCTCTTGGTCAGGAATTTAGGAGCAGCATCACTGTGTGTATCTAACACAAGGTCTTGCCTGAGGTTGCAGTGAAGATGTTGACTAGTCAGGCTGCCGGCATCTGAAGGTTGATTGAGACTTGAGGATCCACTTCCAGTCCCACTCACATGCTGTTAGCAAGGAAGCTCAAGTCCTTCACCATATCAGCTTCTGCATAGTACTACTTGAGTGTCCTCACGGTGTGACAAGTGGTTTTCTCCAGAGCAAATGTTTCAAGAAAGATTGCTAGACAGAAGATTTTATGACATTTGTGTTTTTGTGTGCCTGTCAGTCAGTTTCAGCTCATGGTGTCCATACGCACAACCAGATGACACACTGGCTAATATTGTGTCATCCTCACAATCACTGCTGTACCTGAGCCATTGTTTCAGCCACTGTGTCCATCTAGTCAGTGACCCTGTACTTTTGCCAAGAATGATGTTTTCTCTAGGGACTCGTACCTCTTGATAATAAGCCCAAATATGCAAGAGGAAGTAATTTTCCATAATTCTGCCAGTCTATTTTTAGAAGCAGACCACTAAGTACAGCCCACATTCAGGAAAGAGGAATTAAGCTCCTCCAAAGAAAAGAATGGACAAATTTTAAAACTACTACTTTTGACCAATGACCCGCCAACATGGGCCGCGTTCGCACCAAAACCGTGAAGAAGGCAGCCCGGGTCATCATTGAGAAATAGTACACACGCCTGGGTAATGACTTCCACACGAACAAGCGCGTGTACGAGGAGATCGCCATTATTCCCAGCAAGAAACTCCGGAACAAGATAGCAGGCTATGTCACACATCTGATGAAGCGGATTCAGAGAGGGCCTGTGAGAGGCATCTCCATTAAGCTGCAGGAGGAGAGAGAAAGGAGAGATAATTATGTTCCAGAGGTTTCAGCCCTGGATCAGGAGATCATTGAAGTAGATCCTGATACTAAGGAAATGCTGAAACTCTTGGACTTTGGCAGTCTGTCCAACCTCCAGGTCACTCAGCCCACAGTTGGGATGAATTTCAAAACACCACGTGGAGCCGTTTGAGTCTGTTTGCTGTACTGTAATATTTTCAATAAATTTGGGCACACCAAAAAAAAAAAAAACCCTACTACTTTTACTTCAATGTTCATAGCAGCATTATTCACAATAGCAAGAAAATGGAAACAACCCAAATGTCCATCAACAAACAAATAGTTTGAGAAACTGATACATTTACACAATGGAAGAATATTATGCAGTACTCAGGAACAATGATTTTGAAAAATACTGTATAGCATGGTAGAAGCTAGAGACTCTTATCCTGAGTGAACTAACTCAGTCTCATAAGGACAAATAATGTAAAAGATCATTATTGTTAAAATAGAAAGATAACTAGTAAGATGTGTATAAAAGTCCAAAAGAGGGAGGGAGAATGTAGCAGGGTGACAGAGGCTGGGCAGGGGGAAATCATGAGATCATAGAGTTTGGTGGTCAGAGGGATGGGGTAAAGGAATTAGCAAAGATCTAGTGGGGACCTGAAATGATAGGATGATAGTGGGCCTAGATCAATAGCGATTGGTATTCTAAAGTACAGCGTATCAGAATGATTGTATGAAACACAATGTGAATGAAGGAATGTGTGAAACACAATATATATGAATGAAACACAATGTATATGAATTTTGTATGCGAACCCAATATAAATTTTTTTGTACTTGTTATTTTTTTGTTTATTTTAATGAACATTTACAGAGATTTTGGATTTCCATTCATTCATTGTTGCACTTTTCTCCCTGCCCACCCCTCCCCCTCAGTTCATTCCTCTCTTTGAAAAGTAAAAGAAAAATTCCTCCACTGGCATACAGTCCTCCCCTCACCCCATAAAATTTTTTTAAAAAAGTTTTTTTAAAAAAACCCCAAATACCACATCTGGCTTTGGTATGGTTTTCTAACTGAAATGGTATTAAAAACATATATGTCTGGCTGTTCAAGAATTTAACTGTTGTTCTTGTTAGGTGCTGTCAAGTCACATATGACTCATAGCAACCCTATGAACAAAAGATGTGAACCCTGTTCTGTCCTGTGCCCATTGCAGCAGTCACCATGTCAATCCATGTGGTCAAGGGTCTTCCCCTCCTTCACCCACGCTCTACCATTCCCAGCATCATTTCCTTCACCAAAGAATTACCCCTCCTCCCAAAGTATGTGAGATGAAGTCTCATCATTCCAAAGAGCACTCCATACCTGCTTGTTCTCTTGGCTGTCCATACTTACTTGCAAACTGGTTCTTAAAACTGAGCGACAGTTGCCCAATTCTTCCCCCTGCATTAAGATCTATACTAGGGGAGCTCTGGTGGCCTAGTGACAAGGAGCTGCAACTACAATCCCAGAGGCGAACGGTTCAAATCCACCAGATGCTCTGCCGGGGAAGGAGGGACAATCTCCTCCTGTACTAGTCAGATCTGATTTGACGGTACATGCACACAAAAATAATAAATTTTTTTTAAAAAAAGATCTATACTTAATAGGTAATTAAAAACTTAAGAGAGGGGACAATTATAAATATATGCATTAAAGAGTCCACATTCATTCACAAGATGCCACTATAAACAAGGATATAAAAACAAACCATAATATCTTTGAGGAATACATAGTAGGGAAGTCCAATTAAAAAGGATAAAAAAAGACAATACAAGTGCTGTGAAATAAATGCTGCAGAAAGCATCATCGTGGCTCCTAGATGACAATGCCACCTACCACCATGCCCAGAGAAAACTTTGTGGTCCTGATCAGGGACAAAACTTACTATTCTCTTTTTTTCTTCTTTCAGAATGTTGCTGAGGCCCAGTGCATTGCCAATCAAGTTCAGCTCTTCTATGCCACTGATCGGAAAGAGACCTACGGGTTAGTGGAGACCTTTAACCTAAGACCAAATGAGTTCAAGTATATGTCTGTCATTGCTGAATTGGAGCAAAGTGGACTTGGGGCAGAACTGAAATGTACCCAGAACCAAGATAAGACTTAAAGCAGTAAGAGTTGGTGTCACTCGGGGTCAGCTCAGCCCTTGGTGGTCTAGAGCTCATCTACTTGGACTATATAGAGAATACTCAGTTTGTAATCCTGAACAATCAACAGTCTGTAATGAATTGTCCTTTGTGCTTATGCCAGAAATGAACATGGAGGTGAACCCTACTGCTTGATATTCAGGTACAAAAGTATCCACACATTTTTGTTAATTATTTTTCTTCATACTTAAGGTTTCCTTTTAAGACAATAAGATCATAGCAACAAACAGGCGAGGACTCAAGGGATGGTTTTCCTAATTGTCCATAGTACAGTTCTATTCTGGCAATTTTGACCTTACAGTTCCCATGTGATCAGTTCATCCTCTTTATGAATTTATGACAAGATAATTGAGCTTCAAGTCCTGCTAAACGTCAATGTGGGCTTTACACATTCTTCTCATGCACAAGTTGGCTGCCCAAAGATATAACCTGGATAACCTTCTTTAGATCCTGCAATAACAGATACCCTCATCAGGATAAAGATTTCATCTATATGTACTCCCTCTCCCCCTGTTGCCTTTAGTGTAGCTGTTTCTATATCAGCAGATTTCAGGTATAGTTATTAGCTAACAGATACAGTGCCTGCATGTTATTAAACATCACATGGCACTAACCTCTAACTCTGCCTGTTAGAACTTACGTATTTGAAAAGGATTTATCAGTGCAGTGTAAATAAATCAGCAGTTTTTAAGAAGATAATCTAGAATTGCATGATTTAAAAGAAAAAAAAATACTAAGCAACACCATTATTGTATTAAAGGTAGAAGCAAATGTAGCCAGATTGGGTTTGAGAAAAAGTTAACAATAAAATAAAGCCTGATTTACAATCTTTGTTACACTAAATAGTGAAATCAAAGCTCTGTGCTGTCTGTAGTTTAAGTCTATGGACTGATTTCATCAAAATCAATCTTGGGGCACAGTAGTTACTTGAAATGTCAAAAAATAAGAAAAGAGTTCTCCCAATGGAAATCTGTGTTTGGGTTATAGTATTACTATTGTGGCTTCAAGCGTAGAGAAAAGGATAATGGTCACACATCAGCCTTCTGACCCAAGGCCTAGGTACCCAGCAGGTTTAAGTCTGCCTTTCTTGCTCTTGAGTTAACATGCTTCTCTTTGTCTATTGATCCTGTTTAAAATCTGTAAATGACACTGAATCTAGTGAGTGGAAATTAACCAGTATTTGTAATTTGTATGTATGGTTTGTTGGGTTTTTTTAAAGCAGAAAAGTTTTATAAATTGAGCATATTTCCAAGATCTTTAGATGGGACTGCATTTGTCATTATATTCTGAACCGTATGTTTTATTGTACCTCTGAGTCAGTATAGAGAGAAACAGATAGGTTAATTTAACCTGGAGAAGCTGCTAGCCTTTCACAATTTCTCTGTTTCCTAAGGAAGATTCTGGACCTACCTCTGATCCTGGAAGTTCATTTTTTTATAAACTTTAGTCTTATCAGAGCTACCTTAAACACTTTCTTAAACAGATCTTCCTTAAACACTTTCTGACCTTTCTGATATTTTGAGCCCTGTCAATCTGAGTTTCTCTCAGAGGGTAAGAAAATGATAGGAAAAGAAGAAATGAATGTTCATTTTGTTACTCATCCTTACCCTAGCCTAAATTCTCTTTTGCCAAATAAGGGTATATCTATAGGTAATTAGATTGGATGTGATGAAAATATTATCTAGATTTTCTTTATTTTTGCCCAAAGAGATCCAAACTGATGAAGAACTAAAAATATTAGCAGTTAATCAGTAAATTTGTCCCCTAATACTACCATAATGTGATAGAAAGTAGTCTGTAAACTTAAGTAGACCTAGATTCAGATAAATAACTATTCATTAGCTATATAATGTTAAGCAAAGTCTTTAAATTATAATTCTTTTTCTTCATCTTTAAAACAGGGATTATAATATCTACCTCATGGGATTTTTGTGAGAATTAAATTAACCCATAAGCCACTGTTGTTATGTACCACAAAATCAGAGCTTGACCCTCCAGTAGGTAATCAGAGGCTGTAAATCATATAGGGGATGCTTGCCCATCTCTCTTCCTGCAAAGCACCTGGTGGATTTAAACTGCACGACTTTGGGTTAGCAACCCAACTCACCCAACTCCCTACCACTGGGCCACCAGAGTTCCCTCATAATCCACAGTTGTGGTGGTAGTAGTGGTTGTGGTGGTGGTGGTGGTGTTCTTTTGATTTGGAACCAACTCATAATGGACCCTCCATCAGGTTTTCAGAGGCAGTAAATTGCATGAGAGGAGAATAGCTATTTTTCTCCCTCAGAGCAGCTGGTAAATTCAGACCGTGTACTTTTGTGTTGGCAGTGCAACTCCTTACCAGAGCTCCTTCCTAAACTGCTATAGTCCTCTTTCCTCTTCAGTACTTCCTCCTGTACCTGCTCCCACTAAAGGATGGGATGTATATATGTTAATACAAATTAGCATCTTAGATGGACAAATAATTCTTTATTCCAGCTTAAAGAGCAAACCTTATCTTGTTGGTCCTCTAAGTTTAATATGTAGTAAAATCACCTAAAAGCACTTTAAAATACAGCCTGCCCACTAAGGTAATGAATTGTAGTCTTTGAAGGAGTTACTGGAAAACTACATTTTAATATGCACTGGAGATGACTCTGATGTAGTAGTTCACCAGCCATACTTTGAAAACCTTTGCCTTAGCTGTTCTTCACAAAAAAGCCAGGTTGCCAGATCCTTCCCTATAGGCATTTAATTGGGATTTCGTTTCTCTGCTCTGTACCTCTCATATTACCCTTTGAATAATCCAGCTACCTTGTATTTATTCATCTTTTCTCTCCCATCTTTTTCTCTCCCTAGATTGTGAGCTCCTTGAGAGCCAGAATTTATCTGATCCTCAGTGCCAAGGACATGGCCTGAAACATAGAAAATGCTCCGTTTTTTGTTGAATAAATACATGACATGAGCTTTAACCAAAACATTCTCTTCTTCTTATTGTTGTGTTGTTGTTATGTGCCATCAAGTTGACTCGTACAGACCTGATGAACAACAGCTCAGAACCTTGCCCTAGCCTGAGCCAGCCTCACCATCTCCAACATACTTGTCCCCATTGCCATAGTCACTCCGTCAGTCCATCTCATCCAGGGTCTTCCTCTCTCGTGCTGATCATCTACCCTTCCAAGCATGAGGTCCCTCTCCAAGGACTGGCTCCTCCTGTCAATATGCCAAAATATGTGAGACAATATTTCAAAATCCTTGCCTCTGAGGAACACCTGGTTTCACCCTCTACAGGACAGACCTGTTTGTTCTCTTTGGCAGTCTATGGTATGTTCAATACTCTTCTCCAGCTCCACAACTCAAAAGCATTGATTCTTCTTCTGTCATCTTTTCTTTCTTTTTTTTTTTGTCATCTTTATTCATTGTCCAGCTCTCAGATGCAGAGCAAGCAATTGAGAAAACCATATCGCTTGGATCTGGTATACCTTCGTCTTTAGATTGGCATTGTTGCTCCTTAGCACTCTGGAAAGGTCCTTGAAAAAGACATTCCCAGTATAAAGCCTCTTTTGATTTTCTGACTGCTGGTACTTAAAGTGTTTATTGTGGATCTAAGCAAGTTGAAATTGTTAACAATCTCTTCTCTATCTATCATGATACTGCCAATTGACCCAATGATGAGAATCTCTGTTTTCTTGATGTTGAGGTACAGTCACTATTGAAGACTGCAGTCCTTGACCTTCTGCAGCAAATGTTTCAGGTCCTCCTCAGTTTCAGCAAGCAAGGTTGTATTATCTGCATAACACAGGTTGTTAATGAGACTTCCTCCAATCCCAATGCCACATTCTTGTATTATTTTTACGTGTACCATCAAATCAGATCTGACTGGTACAGGAGGAGATTGCCCCTCCTTCTCCAACAGAGCATCTGGTACCAATGCCACATTCTTCTTCATAAAGTCCAGTCTCCCAAATGATTTGTTCTGCATATAGATTGGAAAAGTAGTAACAATGAATGAATTAAAAAAAAAAAAAGAGTGAACAGGGAAGAGAGGAAAATGTGCAAAAATGAATGAATGAAAATCCAACTTTCTTATAAAACTTTCGTTAAAATCACACGTGCACACACACACACACAAAGAAAAGGTATAAAGGATGCATTCCTGACACGCTCCTTTCTTGATTTTTTAACCATGTGCTATTTCCTTGTACGATTGCCTAGTCTAAGTATAGGTTTCATATGAGCATAATTAAATGTTCTGGGATTCCCATTTTTCTCAAGGTTAGCCACAATTTGTGATCCATGCAGTCAGATGCCTCTGTATAGTTAATAAAACACAAATAGACATTTTTCTGGTACTCTCTGCTTTCAGCCAAGATCCATCTGACATTGGCAATGATGTACCTAGTGCCATAGCCTCTTCTCTTTTTTTTTATGATTCTAATATAAATGTTATTTTATTTTTAATGAAAGTTTACAGAGAGATAGGGTTTCCATTCATTCATTGTTGCATTTTTCTTCCTGTCTACCCTTTCCCCCCCGCAATTTGCTCTTCTCTTTGAAAAGTAAAAGAAAAATTGCATTGTTACACAATCCCTCCCCCCAACTCCACTCCACTGTGCAGCCTTCATTCTGGACTCCTATCCTGACAATAAAACCTAATCATATATCCCTTTTAAACAGTTCTCTCCCTCATCTGTTTCAGTGCAATACACATTATTTATCCCCTCTTTCTCAGTCTTCCCTCAACCCCGATGTCAGTCCCATTTTACAACAGTGGTCCTATGCAATATTTGTCCTTTTATGACTGAGATACTTCACTCAGCATAATGTCCTCCAGGGTCACCCATTTTGTATAATATTTCATGAGTTCCTTGATTTTCAATGCAGCATAGTATTCCATTGTGTGACTATACAACAGCCTCTCTATCCATTCATTTGCTGATGGGCACTTAGGTTGTCTCCAACTCTTTGCTATTGTAAACAAAACCACAGTAAACATGGGTGTGCATGTATCTGCTTGGGTGGCAGTTATGGTTTC